GGCTCAGAATTGCGTTTTTCCACTTCCTAGGCCTTATACAAGATGAATTGAATTAATTTTTTTTGGCACTTTCGTTTTTCGCGATTATCTCGGAAACTATGAGATCCGATCAATTAGCCCGTCATGTATAGATATTCCAAATTTTTATTTTTGTCCTCATTGAAGTAGTTTTGAAAAAAATTGCGAGCTAGTAAAAAACATTACTAGCGCCCAGAGTCACCTAAATCATACGATCTTTTGTTACTTCCACCTTAATTTCGGTCAGTCACACAGCCCCAGCCCTGTGTTTCTCACTAGGCTAATAAGGCTGGTGACAGCCGCTTCTTGTAAGTCCTCTGGTTCCAGGAAAGCCTGGCCCCAGATTTTATAGCGACGGAGTGCTAATAGGGGGCATTCACATAAAATGTGGATGACGCCCTCCTTATCGCCTCCGCATAGTCTGCAGTCTTCTTATTCTGCAAGTTTCATCTTGAACAGATGAGCTCTGGGAGCTGTATGACCCGTAAGGTGCCCTACTGCTACCCTCAGATCCCCTCTGTGCAGCTCCAGAAGCTTTCTGGTCCTAACTCTTAGTTGCCCTCTCATAAGCAGTTTCGCTTGTCTGCAGGTCGCAACTTTCTCCCAACGCCTGACATGATCCCGCTGGAAATGATCTTTAATAAGAGTTTTTCCCACTGCGAAGGGCATGCCAAGCAGGCCGTGTGAGGGCACACTTTCTGTACCCTCCTTGGCCAGCCTATCTGCCTCTTCATTACCCAGAATCCCATGGTGACCTGGCACCCAGGTTACGGTGACCCGGTTGTTTTTACCCAGTGTGTCCAATGCCTGCATGCATTCCCACACCACCTGTGACTCTGTAGTGGGTTTTTCCAGGGCGTGTATCGCCGCCTGGCTGTCACTGCAGATGAATATTTTCATCTTTTTTGTGTCTCTCGCGTTCAGATACTCTGCACACTTAAGTATGCCCAGCATCTCTGCTTGAAAGACGGTTGAATGATGGCCCAGCGGAAAACTCTCTCCGAAGCCATCTTTCAGACGGTAGATGCCTGCCCCAAAACTTTCATTGAAGCCAGAGCCGTCCGTAAACCAGTAGTCCTCTCTTGGTCCTGGTTTGCGTTTCGAGTCTAGCCACTCCTGTCTGGGTGGTATAATCGTTCTTAAAGTTTTTTTTAAATAAATTTTTGAAAAATCTCCCCTGAAAAAAAAGGCCCCCTACTTCATTATTTCCAATAAATTTTATCACCAATCGGTAGCTAATTGTTTGAAGATTTTTGCGATTTAAGAAAAAATCGTCAATGCACTCCTATTATTGTATAAATTAACAATTCCAATTTCAACTGAAAACCAGAGTTGATGACCAGAGTTTGTAGCAGAGATGTCAGACAAGATATGAATGTTTTTTTGGCTCAAATAAAAGAGCGGGTCGAGAAATGGCGTGCAGAATTCTTTAAAGATGACAAATCTCTCTAAAGATGATGTCTGTTTTCAATTGAAAAGCGCAATTGTGACAACATTTTCCAGTGGGTTCTAGGAGTCTCCCCTGGTTCAACACCATCTTTAGAGGTCCTAGCACGCCATTTCTCGACCCGCTCTTTCGTTTGAGCTCAAAAAAACATTCATATCTTGTCTGA